ATAAAAAAATATAAATTTGTGCTACTTAAATATATTGATTTAAAATATTAAAATGCCTAGTTAACAAGGACATATTTATGCTTTTGTGGGGTCCTTCAGAAACATTTGATTATATTTTAAGTACATAATACATTTTAGATAAGCTGTCCAATGTGAAATTTACATTCACATTGGCTTTATGTTGTATCTCAATGTGAGGACGAAAGTCTATCTTTTGGCATTAAAATGTCTCTGAAGTGGCATAGCTGAAAAGCTTATTGCTTTGTCTTTTAATAATTAAAAAATATCTGAAGTGGCAGATGGGAAAAGCTTATATTGCTTTGTCTTTTAATGAATTAAAAAAAAATATCTGAAATGGAAGAACAGAAAAGCTTATTGCTTTGTCTTTTAATGGATAACCTAATGGCTTTTCCTGTGTAGAGGTTTCTAAAGGAAAGCAGCTAGCAACCCATTTTGTTTTTAATTTGGTGTTGAAACCCTTCTTCTCATGGAAATTCCAAAACCCAGTCCCCAGTCCCCATCACTGCTAGGTACAGTCTTTTGAAAAGGTTACTGATAGCCCTCTATTCCTCAAAATGATGGTCTAACTTCTAAGCATTCAAAGCTCAAATAAAAATAGAAATTTTGGGGGTTCCAATTCGATAACCACTCTGATATTTCTTTCATTTAGGCTTGGGCCCTCAACAACATCACCATTAATTACTTGACCCACAATTCCCTTTTTTTGTAGCCTTTCATCAGTTTCTAGTTGTATGTAATTGACTCTAGTTAACTACTTAAGATGACCTAATTAATTAAAAAGTTAGATTTCCAATTCCAATCCAATCTTCTCATGACAAAACTGAAAAAGAAAAGAGTAGGAGTGACAAACCCAGCTGTGTTTCTCTTCACTACAAAAGATGAAATATGTAATCAATTCTGTCTTCAGTAGTTTTCATTTTGCCATAAAACATATAAGCCAATGTGTATATGTATATATATATATATATATAACAAGAAGAAAAATACAATACAACAGGGATATAGAATATGGTACATTATTGGGACTCTTTACAATGACTTCACCATTGAAATCAGCCACAAGTCACTCAGAAGAAGAATCAGCAATGTTTCCATTCATATTCGAACTCAAATGACCTTCACATGAAATGATTATTACTTTCATGGTTTCCCTATGCCCTTATTAATCCTGGAATTTCCTCTCTTAACTAAAGAATTATCTACCAAGCATTTCTGCACACCACATGCAATGATTATTTCATTTACATGTGATGATTATTTCTTGCATGGATCTGCCCCAAAGAATGCATCCTTTAGCCTTGAAAAAACTCTGAGATATGTACCAACTACTTCTAGATCCCCTCAATAGCTTGCAAATGTTAGTGCTATTTTCCTTCAATGCGGAGTCTCCCCACATTACTTTAAAGCTTTTACCGCTGGTAACATCACCTGCATTACTCTGATTTGTTCATTTTATTTGACCTGAGTCATTCTCCTTGTTACATTACATTTAAACTAAACTTACTCTCCTTATCTCCTGAACTGCTGCTACCTTTACCAAATCTGATTGAAGCTTCACCTTTCTGTTCTGTAGAGTTAAAATCTAACTGACCTTCCTCTGCAACTGAGATGGACCATCTAACCAGTAGGGCTGCAACTTGGGTGGGGTTGAGTTGAGGGTTTGTTAAAATTTGAATGGGCCAGGTGACCAACTTGCACCTCACTAACCAATAACCAATTTTGAGATCAATTGGAACACACATATTTGCTTAATTAGAGTTCAGAATACCAAGAGTTATAGTTATGATCTTTTTGATATTAGGACCAGTTTGAGTGACTGCCCTAAGTTGTTGGACTGATTCAAGATCTGGTTATGCCTTAAATTAGCTGAACCATCATATTGCTTAGTTGAACTGGCCTTCTCAGCTGGTTGGATTGTTTAACTGACATTTTTTTATGAATATTGTTTAACTGACATTATTAACTCACTAATGGTTAAATATTTTACTTAACGTTTTGTTTCTGAGGTAATCCTATATCACCACTTTACCAGGTTTTCTCTGGACAGTTTTGCCTGTCCATCAAGGTTGAACTGATCCACCCATACACCAGGATGGTCACTGGTCAAGGTTATAAACAGTTAAAGAGATCCACTTAAAAATGATTTTTGGCACTTCGTATTCTAGTTTGCTTTTGTTATTGATTATTTTTCTATTTGGTTACAGGAAATGGAAATCATTGAGAAGTATTGGAGGTCTGACTTGGAAAAAATGCAAGTTACATTGGAGACAGACTGTTCTGCTAAATTACCAGTTGATCCAAGTACAACATTTGAAGCTAAAGATGATACAGAAGCTCCAAAGGCTATTATATTGGACAAGCTAGAAAATAAGAGAAAAGAGATGATTGCTATTTCCTTTCTCAGCCTCACTACAGTAACAATATCTCCCTTTTTTTCTTTTTTCCTTATACATGTTCTTAGGAGTTGGTTTTTTTTCCCTTAGAGTTCCATTGAAGAGAGTTCAAGACTTGGAGAAAAAATGGGCAGTGGTTCAGCATAATTCGCTGAGGCAGCCTTCTCCAGGTAATTAGACTACAAAGTTTGACAACATAATTTGTCAAAATGTACCTTATGTATATATTAGATGAGACCAACAGTAAAGTATATATTAGATGAGATTAATATCAAATCATGTCTTCTCTAGGCCCAAAATGTCAATTACCTAAATGAGAACTAGTTTGCATGTTTATGTACAAAAGTTAGAATTAAATATTTCATCTAACTTATTTTATCAAAGTTATCTAACTTTTCAGTTTTTCCTTTTCAAAGCCACATTTAGTAGTGGTTGGAAACTTATAATTTAGAATGGCACTACAAATGATAATTCAAAGTATCTAATTATACTTTCACAATTTTGAATAAATTCCCAATATCCTTGACAAAAGAAGATGAAGATATAGTCAGCATAACACAAAAGAGATGCCTCCACTTTAAAGTCTCTTAAGTAAACCAAGATTCTATGCTTTGCAACATAGGCCTCCTCAGAACATTACAAATTCATAGAAAGAAGGAAAGCGTGAAAGATTTCCATGCCTGATACCCTTCTGAGCCTAATAGAAACTTTATTCAAATTTCATACAGGTGCCTGGGCAACCTAAGAAAGTTGGTCCAGATGGCACTGAGCAACAAGTCATAAATGAAGAAGGCATTTTTAAGAACCTCTTGATGGAATTTACCAGGGAAGAAACAGTTACAGAGAGCTCTATGGAAGACAAAAAATAGCCCAGTGAAGAGGTCACTTTAGTATAAAATTTAAAATTTAATATGACCTTTTCTTTCTTACTTAATCTCTCTAAGTTGTAAACTGAAAGTTTATTTTCTACTTATTTGAGTTTATTTTCTTCTACTATTTTTTGTTAGGTTGAAGTTGCATTTGTTAAGCAGGTAAATGAGGGACCTGAAACAACTAGTGGTGGTAAGAACACAGGAAGCAATAATGGAGGAGAATAACACTGTTAAGGACCATTCTGCTGCCCTTGTAAAGGGGGGCAAGGTAAGCTTGAATATGATATTTGAAGTTAACTGCTAACTATTCTCTAAATTATGTTCTTCACTAATATTAATCATAACATTCAATTTGCATTATCTCTGTTGCTCTTATTCATCTTCACTTATTCAAGTTTCATCTATTATGCAGATGTCTAGGGAACTTGGCATGGATGGTCTTGGAAAGCACTATGAGGAGCAGATTGCAGAGGAAGATAGCACTGTTGAGGACACTTCCAAGGTATCTACTAAAGAAGCAGTTAGAGAAAGTTCTTGGGAAGATGAAATGGAGGTAAGCAAACTAAATGCAGAGGTCAAATTGAAAATAAAATTGAATCTTAATCTGTCTTTATTCTTCCATAGTTCCATTTAGTTTCTGTTTTAACTTTACTTGACATTATCTGGTTAATAGGTTAAAGACAAGCAGTCACAAAGTCATTTGGACATCAAAGGATGATAGTTTTATATTCTTAATGAAAGTTAACCGTTGTTCATGTCTTCAATATCATTGAGATCAACACTCTTTGCATACCAAGTCAAAGACATTGTCTTTCTTATCAAAGTTTTCATTCAAGTGCAAGGATAACGAGTATTGCAAGCTCCAGTTCTATATCCCCCTTTTAGGTTAATCCTCAAGCACATCTCTTTTCAAATGCATCAAACTTTCCTCTATAGTAAATGAAAATAGATCAGAGAGAATAAAGTAGACCAGATGCTTGACATCAGGGAGCCTACCTGTCATCAAAGGATGGTAACAAAACGCTTCCCTAAATGGTTACAACGTCTTCTTCCTCTAGAGCAACAAAACTGATTGTACAAAATCATGATTATCAAACCCAAACACAATACATCCACATGTTTAGAAATGAGATTTTGTTTTTCTCTCTACATTTTATCATTTAGGAATAAAACCTTGATTCCTTACCTAAAAATATGAAATATTCCTTACTAATAAAGCAGACTGAAACTCCTTGCATTACTTGGATTCCTCTCATGAGTACTTAAATTGATGTCATTTGATAATGCTTTCTTGCAGAGCTTCCTGATTAGTGTCTTGTAGCCACGTCACCAAATGGCAGAGAGCAGGAAATCTAGTCAGAATTTGAAAACACTACATGGGGATTTTCTTCCAATTTCATCAGGACTTCCAATTACCTTCCTCAAGTTCTCCCTGCACAAATGATATGCATACTATGACTTGGGGGCCATTTGATAACATCTGAAATGGATTAACTGAATGACTTGTTGCATCACATCAGCAATAACTAAATCATAACATTTTCAGCTGTCTGTTTCTCACAGCAGACAAGTTGACAGACCATTTAAACACAAAATAGGTAAAGATAACATTTTCACATATTAGCTTTCGGTTGTAAATTGAAAAGTTGGTGCAGTTTTTGGCACAGGTGCCCGAATATGATAATTGGAGGGTCATTTGTGAGGGGGATTTCAGATGGGAAAGAAAAAGGGTCTGCATCGGCAATGAAATCCTGCTCAACCCATCACTTCTTTTCCTAGATGAACCAACTTCTGGTCTAGACTCAACTACATGTCTTAGAATAGTTCAAATGCTACACAATATTGCTAAGTTAATAAACCATGGCATTTCTTATTTTCTTTAATTTATAGAACACCCTTCCTTGAAGTTCAGTGTGGGGTTTTGTAGGCTGGAAAAACAGTAGTGATACAATTCATCAGCAACTTTGTGTCATTTTGCAGTGGGGACTGTTAACAGGTGTATTATATGTGCTGTACACAGGCTTAGTACCCGCAGGGGTATTTTCGTAATTCTGTAGACATATTGTTATGTACGGCCAGAATAGTATAAATAGAAAGCTTCACTCGACTGAAGCTAAGTTTTTGATTGAGGCCTTAACTCAGTTGCCTCTTATTCTTCTTCCTCTTCTCCTTTCTTCTTCTTTTCTCCTTTTTTTCTTCTTCTTCTTGGTCTCCTGCTCAACAGGGACTATGGTGATGCAGTTACTCTAGCAACTTTGAAAGATTTTCATAGGAGAAGGGTTCAAGTTTTAGCAGAATCAGGTGCTGACCTAATTGCATTTGAAACAATTTCGAATAAGCTGGAAGTAGACTAGGACTTTGGTGCTTGTAGCAAATGATAGTGATTGGTTTCTCTCCTGTTTTTTTACTTTACAAAGGGTTAATAGAATTAACTATTGCAATTGCGCAATAAGTGGCATGAGACTTTCCTAAGAACTACAGACTCTCTGATCTAGATCCAAAATCTGGACAGCTGTAGTAAATGGTTCAAGCCATGAAAGAAATGTCAGAATAAATTGGACCATTGATGGTAGGTGGATGTTTAGCATTTTGTTCGTGCAGTTTTGAGGGTCCTATTTATTGAGCCAAACTGATGATTTGGTAGAACATCCAAGCATATTTACCAGTGTATGTTAAGTGGGTAGGGTTTTTCAAAAATGATATTCCCATTGTATTACTTGGTTTGAACTTTTCAGTTTGGTATTGACTTTATCTCTTGGTTTGGTTGGTGGTCATGCAGGCCTATGCTGAACTTCTCGAGGGAGATGGCATAAAGATTCCAACATGGTTTTCATTCAACTATAAGGATAGTGTCAATATAGTTGGTGGAGATTCTTTTCTTGAATGCGCATCTGTTGCTGATTCATGTAATAAGATTGTTGCTGTTGGAATTAACTGCACTCCTCCAAGGTTTATTCTTGATATTGTTTTATTAGTTCATAAGGTATAATCTTCTTCTTCTATGTTGTTCTTTAATCAGGATTAAATATGAAAGAGCTTTTTATTTATTTTCCTTTTCATCTTAGATGACTTTACAATAAATGTGTGAATTCATTCAACAATGCATGTATTTCTCGAAAAAATCCAAAGCTCTGTTATTGCTCACCAGATAGCACTATGCTGAATACTTTTTTGTTTCCTTGTGTTATGTTGGGCGTGACACCTTATCACCTATTCTTTGTGTTAGCTTTTTCTCTTTTAATAAAACATTTTCCTTTAACAAAAAGAATAAACTCTCATTGTTTCACTAGCTAACCCCACGTGTGACATCTAAACCGATACTTATTTATCCAAACATTGGTGAGACTTATGACCCTGATCGCAAGGAGTGGGTAGTAAGTTCCCTCTTTTACCTTTTCTATTAAATTATTACAAGTTACAATATTTTTGATTTGCAACATTCATGATATTGGCTTGGGGGGACCATTGACGTTCTTTGAATAGGACATGAATTGTGCTCCCCATTCCCCAAGTTCACAGTTTGTTTTTTCTTATTATGTAAAACTACCATATTAGTGGACAATTAAGTTTCAGACTTTGTATCTTTTAATGTTTTCTATCCATTTGATGGATAGTATTTGTCATCTACTTCTTTTTGCAGTTGTACACAAGGGCCACCTAGGTTTTGACCTGTAAAATTCACTCAATAAAAAAAGAAAAACCATTTCTCTGTGTAGGCAAGAAATTGAACCTTCTTGCCAAGTCTCCAACCTGGGTACCTACCCTCCTATTGGTGTGAGGTTGAGCTCAAAATCTAGACAATCTGGTCTACAATAACTATCAGCAGTTTTGGGCAATAAGCTTTTCAAGTTGGGGTCCCGTTACGCATACTTGATCATGCCCTTTGTGTATTTTGAATGATAGGAAATTTTGGTGCTTCATTCATTAAGTGCTTTGACAAAAATCTCTATTTTAGTGCTATATAACTCCTCCTACCCTATGCTGCCTTCATTTTTCAGCCATGCATTATCTTCTGGTTCAGAAAATGTGAAATGAAATAAAGATGTTAATTACTAGTCCTTATCATATTGTGACAAACTGGTTTAGATGCTGGTTGTAATTAATCACATCTTATTTGCCTTGCCGTTGCTCTTTTTTCATGCAAGAATCTACTGGAGTGTCAGATAAAGATTTTATTTCATATGTAAGTAAATGGTGCGAGGCCAAGGCTTCCCTCATAGGAGGCTGCTGCAGGACAACACCAAATACCATTAGAGCCATATCTAGAGCACTATCCAAGTATTCTTCTGTCTTACCATCACTATAGTAGTAACAATTCACTGGCTTAGAGTCCTATTTTTAAGAGAGAGAGAGATGCAAATATACATCAAGGCAGAAGTAGACAAGGGCTGGAATCTAAAGTTTTCCTTGTCACTTATTTTTTTTTTTGGGTTGCTTGTAATAAGTAATCAGACTTGATTAATTGTGAGCTTGGAATTTTACAAAAAAATTTCCTAGTCTTTGCTTTTTCTCTTCTTTTTCCTATGCTAGACTAAAAGTATATAATATATTCAAATCTGTATCTTTACCCTTTTACCTTCTTTTAAAAAGCTTATTGTGGTTAGGACTCAATAAATAACTTATTCAAGAGATTTATTATCTAGTGTGGGCAACCATTCTCTTTCCCCCTTCTTACGTAGGGGATAGTTAAAGCTAGAAAGACAAAGATTAAAGAATGGGTCAAATTTCACTGTACTGAATGGATGTACATGGCTAAATATTTATACACAATAATAAAGAATAAATTAGAAATAATTACAAGAGTAGAAATAAGGAAAGGTCTTCAGGAGGAAACTTGCTAAGAAGAGAGTTTCCTTTTTGCTCTGATTGACCTCTTTTCGGTAAGTGTCCTCTGTGTAGTAGCTGGTCCTTCTTTGGCAGGAAGACTAGAGTCTTCTTTGTAGGAGATCTAGGGCTCTCTTTGGTAAGTGGGCTGGAGCTTTCTTTGGTAAAGGTGTAAGAGCTAGGGCTGGCCAACCTAGGGTTAGCCAGCTCCTCAATACGCCCCCTCAAGCGAAAGTGGGCTGGAAACACCTGAAGCTTGGACTGCAGCCATTCAAATTGGGAAGACGAAAGTGGTATTGTGAAAATATCAGCTAGTTAATCCTATGCGGGAAGAAATTGCATGATCAGACACTTCTTAATGATGAGATCCCGAAGGAAGTGAAAATCAACCTCAATGTGTTTAGTACGGGCTCGAAAAATGGGATGAGTTGCAAGATACGTGACCCCGATATTATCGTAGTAGAGAATCGGTGGAGACTGGAGTTTGATCCCCAAATCAGAGAGAAGAGAATTAAGCCACAAGAGTTTGGTGGTGCCATTAGCTAGAGCTCGAAATTTTGCCTTTGTGCCAATTGTAGGTTGCTTCTTAGCGCTCTATAAAATCAAATGAGAACCAAGAAAAATACCGTAGCCGCCAGTAGAACGTCTGTCATTAGGACAACTAGCCCAATTAGCATCAGAGTATGTTGTAAATGTGTGGCGAGTGGACCGAGAAAAACAAACTGGAGCCAATGGTTCCTTTGAGATATCGTAGAATCCTCTTTACTGCACCCCAGTGTTCATGAGTAGGAGCTTGTAAAAACTAACAAACCTTATTTATTGCGAAGGCGACATCAGGTCGTGTCAGAGTGACGTACTAAAGAGCACCTACAATGCTCCGATACTGAGTGGGATCAGGGAGCGGTTCACCAGTAAACCGAGAAAGCTGAGATGAGGTGGCCATTAGACTAGAAACAAGTTTGGCCGCATCAAGATTAGTCTTCAACAGTAGATCCAAAATATACTTATGTTGAGAAAGAAACAATCTGGTTGCATCACGATGAGATTCAACCCTAAGGAAGTAGTGCAACAACCCCAAGTCTTTTAGGGAAAAGGTCTAAGATAAATTGCTGATAAGCTGAAAGACATGAGTAGAGGAGGATCCGGCAATAAAAATATCATCAACATAAACAAGAATGTAAATGGTAATTTGTTCATGGTTGTAAATAAATAGAGAGGGGTCACACTAAGAACTCCTAAAACCAAGGTCATATAGACGATTACTCAATTGGGAAAACCAAGTTCAAGGAGTCTGTTTCAGCCCATAGAGGGCCTTATGAAGTTTGTAGACATTATGGGGATAATTATTGTCCTCAAAGCCTTTCGGTTGTCACATGAAAATACTCTATAATGAAACCATTAAGAAAGGCATTATGAACATCCAGCTGCCAAACGTCCCATCAACGGGGAACTACAAGAGCAAGAGAAGTGCAATAAGACAGGCTTTGTAGCGATCAATGGAACCGTTAGGGTGTCGTTTAATTTTTAAAACACATTTGGAACCAACCACATTCATAGAAGCATCATAGGGAACTAGTTCCCAATTACCATTTTGAAGCAAGGCATGAAATTTGGTGGTTGTTGCCGCACAGATTGGCCAGGGGCAATGAAGTAAATTCACTCTTTAGGTTTTGAGTGTTAGCTAAGGACCCTGAGGCCTCGGAAAAGATGGGCTAAAGCTGAGGACTGCAAGCCAAGGTGAGGTATTCCTTCCGAGGACTATGGTAGCCGAGGACTACAAGATAGGGAATTTCTGAGGCCTCGGGCGAATACTCGAGGCAAAGGCTCCGACGCTCAAATTAGTACAAGGTGTAAAGTAGGAGAGGGTGCAGGAGAGGCCTTGGAGATAGTCCTCGAATGCACCAGATCTCCCTAAATTAATGCTAAGAAGACAAAGTAGGTGCAGGGAGTAAATGAGTGAGTGGTGTTGGAGTTTTCGGTTCCGGATCCCCAAAAGGGGCAATTACCTCTTATTTATACTTGAGCGTGCTGGGGGTAGGTGAAGATGAACGCCTTGGATAAGAGCCGTACGAGGTCAGGCTGCAGGCCCTGGTGGGTACGTCTGACTGTCATGTGGTTGGCTTCGTACAAAGGCAATAGGGCTTCCTCCTACTGTGGCTGATGCTATTAGGCATCAGTGGGCTGGGCCAAGCTAACCCGCATAACTGGCCCCCCACTCTTGAGATCGAGGTGAGGCCTCGGCTTCGGTCATTGGGAATAGTGGTCATTACACCCTTGGATTCGTCAGTCGAGGGATGTCCTGCTGTGGTGTCATTTTCGCTGTTTGCATCATCCCTCTTCAGTTTGGAAACGCGTGCGATGTGGATGCCTCAGCTTGGCAGGGGTATCCCATATCATGCACGAGCAGGTTACGTTAGGGGGGATGCCATGCAGGGGATGGCTGTCCTAGGAATCGTGTGTTTTCCGAGTTGAGCAGTCCACTGGGTGGACCGTGAAGATCGCCCGCGGCAACCCGCCAAGCAAACCACAAGGCCTGCTCATCGCGGACCACCGGGCGGACCGCTCACATACACATAGATAGGTATGTCAATAGGTCGGGTTTGGTATGATTTTGGCTCAATCCGACCCTGAGCTGAAAGCACTCCAACCAACCCTAACTCCAATCTTGACCCCCTAAATGAATTGGGAGTCTGAACATGAGACAACCTACCCCATAACAATAAACTTGTACTCAATCAAGGCTATATTTACAAACACTGCAGTGCTACAATGCAAATGGATTGAATCAGGCATAGGGTGGGCACAACCTGAAAATGATCCAAAACCCAGATAAGGACAACCCGACCCAAATTGTTAGGATCAGTCAATGTTGATTTACTTAAACAGACCCACTAACATAGGGAGGCCAAAGTAACTAATCATCATCTCAACACATTATCAAAACTAGCTTTTGTCACAAAGTTACCAGCCATCGCCTCGACACATCGGCAACACTAGATTTTGTATGAAAAATAATCTATTGCAGTATTTTTGTGCATTGAGAACAAGGTGTTATGCCATAATAATTCGTGACAGAGCTTAACCAAAGTAACAAGTACTTATAAGAATTGCACTGAAAATAGAGAACCAAGCAATATATGATAAAAAGCTCCCCAGACCAACCAAAATGACTTAATCAGCTGGGTTTTAAAAATTGTGACAAAAACCTAATATGGAGTCAAGTGCAAACAAGTCATAATCAAAAACTATACCAAACTGCAACAAAAAAATATCCTCTGGTCATACATGCATTGAATGATTATAATCTAATAGATCATTAGAGTTGCACTAAACTAGTACCAATGACACAAAATTCAAAAATAAAGTAGATAAAAAACCAGTACCAAGTCAAATAAAGATGATGAGGACTTCTTCAAACTAGTGGAAAATGATTGATACAAGAACAAGGAAATTTTAAGCAACAAAAAAAAAACAGATAGGTGCAGAGGCATTCCTCCCAAGAATAAACTGTATGGATGATAAAAAAATTCAAAGACAACATTTAGCGAGCATAGTTCTAAATATACAACAAAGTGTCACTTATGCCCTTTTCGAAGTAAATTATGAGTGGAAATCAGGGTCCTAGCAAGGGTATAAGGGACAGGGGTCCGGCATAGGCCCTTAGCATGTAGGAGAGGCCTGACCTGCCTCTCTCTTGCAAACACATCTGCTAGGATGCTTGTTTAACCCTTTGAAGAATATATTCATTCTTTAAGTCAAAGACTCAACCTCTTTAACATTGTGAAGATTTAACTTAATGGACCTGCACTGCCACCTCTAATCTATACAACAATAAATTTGCAAATCCTATTTGTTTTTTAACATAAATGACAAGGGTTCAGGTCTTGATATATATATATATATATATATATATATATATATATATATTAAAGATAGACAAAAATAAAAAAAATGAATGGTTGGATACTCTGAAATCCAACCTGGCTACTCTGGGATCCAAGTCTACAGGTTTACCTCTTCTTGGCTACTCTGAAATCCACATTCAAGTCTGGTTGCTGCCGTGAACTGTTGTTTACCACTTTGTCTGGTCAAGTCTTAACTGAATTTCTAGTGTCTTTCTTGGCACCACTAGGCTTGTCATCCTTTCCCCAACCTCTATAGAGAATGACCTATCTGGGATCCTGAGAGATACAACACCTGTTGCTTGCTGCAAATAAGAGAAACAAGGGGTAAACCACCACAATGTCAGATATTATATTTGAGATGGATTAGGAAGCCAAGCAAGAGGTCACTACTCGTATGCACAGACCTCCAGCATGAAAACCACCTCCTGAACCGAGATTCCCTTGGCTCTGCCTTTACTAGACAGCAGTACTTATTCTCTGGTTGTGGCACATTCTAGCAGAATTTTCCATGCACCATGATCTATCACTTTCTGCACACAACATGAGACGATGAATATTGAGTGTTGAGCAAGAACTA